TAAACTAAATAGTTTAATATAATAGTGTGTAAGTATTATAACCTAAACTAAATTAGACATGTTTTAGGCTTAAACATAGTTAAATAAATAAATAATATAATATTATAATAAAGCTATTACTAGTAAATGTAAGTTCTCTAATATAATATAATAGCATAAGCAAGGTAATAGGTCTAAATGCAGGAGGAATCTACTTAGAAGCATATTGAAGTGCGTAGAGACTTAATAACCTAGGAATCCTATTAACACCTATAGGCATTATACAAAGGATATTAGAAAACTACGAAGCTAGCTACAGAGGCGAGGTGCGACGAAATATATAGGGAAATAGAAGTAACAGTAAAGGGTAGAGCACAGTTAGAGCTAGGTTGAGTCAGGGTCGAGGCTAATACAGAGACCCTTCGGATAGGTTCCAGGCGACCCGAGATGGAACGAGAATCGTTACACTTTTCTCCCTAGAAATAGTACCCTAAATCTAGGCCACTCTAATACTATTTAGAAACTAGCTACTAATTCTAAAACTAGGCTCTTTTATTATAAGTGCACTTTCTACTTGTAAGGCCGGGATAGCGCTTACGTGTAAGGCCGAGATGGTGCTTACGTGCGACGGGTATATATACTATTCTGTACGCAATAATTAACTGTTGGTTAATTATTCGCACCTTTTTAGTTGTATTGGCGTAGTGGTACAGAGCTCCGTCCTTACACTACTTAGCCTAAAACTAGGCTACTTAGCTACTTTATATATAATTTACTGCTAATACTAGGTCTTAAACAGCCTAAAGATAGGCTACTAATACTTTATATTAAAGTTGTTGTTAGTATAGTACAGTAAATCTACTTTTTTATTACTTTTAACAATAGAAACTGTAGGCAACTATAGTAGAAAACTAACTTAATAAACTCTACAACTAAAATATTAATAAAGAGTATAAGCTATATAAGTGTAATATATGTCTAAAATGCTTTTCTAATTCTACTAGTCTAAATTAGCTTTCTACACTACATTAGAACTGTAAGGACAGGGCTCCGCACCACTCCGCTAATACAACTAAAAAGGTGCGAATAATTAACCAACGTTAATTATTGCTTACAGAGTAGTATATATACCCGTCGCACGTAAGCACCATCTCAGCCTTACATTATCCCCCTTCTTAGCAGACGCATGTCCCAGGCGTCACATGACCTACCCGCAGCTCAGAGGCGCCTATGCGCATGTCTCAGTTACCGGCCAGAGGCTGACCACCTGCGGCCCAAAGGCGCGGGATAAACACGACGCAACGCTTAGTGGCCCACGCCAGCTAAGCCATATACACTAGACCTCCCAGCAGCGACAACGTGGCGCTAGAAGAGGCCGCCTCACGTTTCAGTCTAAAAACTAGCTAAGCTGTCTAAGGTGTAGGTCGAACGCGCGACCGTCTTTATTGTTAGTTAATTATTATGTAAGGACAGGGCTCCGCACCACTCCGCTAATACAACTAAAAAGGTGCGAATAATTAACTAATGTTAATTATTGTGTAACGTACTTCATGGGCGAGTCGCTCACACACCTGAGTCGCTCACTTTTGCCAAGACCCCACCCCAACAAACTCTATTATAGCCTATAACAACCCGCTCTAGCACTATATAGTACAGTACAGCCTAGAATATTATTTAGATACTACTTCTACTTCTTGCTTACACATTTGCGCGTTATGCCTAGTCTAATTGCACTGTCCGCAGCGCCTTTAGGATAGCTTACCTACTTTAGCTTGCACCTGCTTCTTTGCCTTCTTTCTATTACTGTGTGTAACGGCGCAGGCAAGACAATGGGTCCGAATGCGGTATGAATCCACTCAGAGGCATATGGGAGTGCGTGGGGACTCAGAGACCTGGGAATACCAATGACACCTATAGGCCTTGTACGTAGGATATCAGAAAACTACCGAGCTAGCTACGGGGGCGAGGTGCGACTAAATACATGAGGGAATAGGGGTAACAGCAGGGGTCGGGGCCAGGTCGAGGTCGGGGCCGATACGGGGGCCTTCCGGGCCATCCGAGATGGAACGATTCATGAGGATCGTTACACTGTGCGCCCTAAACTCCTTTAAAGCTGTTAAGCGTAGGCCTTCTTAAATTATTAAGGTCTTTTCTGCCTTAATCTGCTTTTTTTTATGCAATTTATATTATGTAGCAGCCTTATTAGCTGCTTAAAGCTTAGTAATTTTCTGTTGCGCTAACACTAGCTTATATGTAATTATTACTGCCCCCTTTAAAACCTTCTTAAACACCTTAACTATAGAAGTTAGTAAACTATTTATATACTTCTAAATTCTTATCTTTATAAGCATTAATTATAACTTAAGTTCTAAGGTATTGCTTAAGGTTTACAACTACTAGGGCTTGTTATATATAAGTAGTAGTAGTAATAAAGTGCGCAACTTTACATTAAGGCCTATTATAACTTATTATAGGTTAAAAGAAACTCATCTAGCGCTTTAGAACTCTTTTTAGATATTACTAGAAGTAATTATAGCATTATAAGCTGCTTTAAAGCATAGTAAGAACTTTATTTTTATAATATAGGTAATCTAGTTGCGCATAAGGTTTTTAGCTTAGCACTTATACGCCTTCTTTAAAGGAGCAAAACAACCTACATTAAGTAGCTATAAAAAGTGTAATAAGTAAGAAGGCATGTAAATAGTAATAATTTTATTATCTTTATAGTATTACTAAAAATAAAGTAAGTTGTAGCTTGTATAGCTATTAATAACTAGCAGATAGTAGCTGCTAATAGTACACTTTTTTATATGCACATTAAAGTGCTTTAACTAGTCTAGACTAAGCTAATTAGTAGTTTAGCTGCGCTTAGAGATTGCAATAACCTAATCTTAAAGTAGATTTTTTTTTATACTAGTTTAAAAGGTAGTTGCTACTTTAGAAGATAATAAAAGGCAGAATAGCCTACTTTTTAGCATTAATGCTCTAGATAGCTGTTATCTACTCCTAGTTGCCTAGCTAGACTGCTTTTAGCTGTCCTTATCTTTTTAAACCTGTAACAACTACTCTAGTAGATATCTAGCTTATTATAAACCTTATCTTATTAAAGTTGTACATGTTATTATTTTAGATGCTATACTTAGCTTTAATATTCTTTATAAAGTTAAACTAGCCTTAAATTACTATAGAATTTTTATAGAAAGCTTTTTTATAGTTATACTTATGCTTAAACTTTACTTTAAGCTCTAAGTAACACTTAATAAACATATTAGGCTAGTTTATACTAATATAGCCTATATTATGCTTAGCGTGTAAAGAATTAGCTATATTAGCCACAGCTACTAGCTAGGGGGGAAATACTTGCGCATTTAGCTTAAGTATGTGCTAAATAATTACCTACTTTTTATTATTATCTAGCTTTTATAAGTTAGCTATATAATTAGCTTAAGAAGGTTGTTTAGCGCGTTAGTTGCTTATTATCTTTTAAAGGACCTTATAGATAGCTGTAGCGTGTTAGTTAGAAAGTGTTGCGTTTTATTTAAAAGCCTAAAGCATAAGCTGCATCTAACATTTCTTTAACACATTTAAGTAGTGTTATTAGGAATGCATTAGTGTAGGAAGAGTAGTGTAGTAGGGTCTTAGCAAAAGTAAGCAACTCAGGTGTGTGAGCAACTCGCCCATGAAGTACGTTACAGAATAGTATATATACCCGTCGCACGTAAGCACTATCTCGGCCTTACAAGAACTATCTAAAGAAGTTTAAGTGCAATTTCTATCTATAATAGGTTAACTATAAAGACTATTTACTTAGGTTTATAAAGTTTAGCTTAACGTAGCAGTAGCTAACAATACTAGGCATTAGCGCTCTTGCGTAAAAAAGTTTTTAAAGCGATTAGAGAGAGAATATGCTCTATTTTATTTATCTATAACCTAAGTCTATAAATGTTAGGTAGGTATTAAAAGAGAGAGGCTTGCAATTAAGAGTATTAAGTTACTTTATAAAATCTCTAACTTAATAAACTTAAAAGTAAAAAGAAGTTATCTTAAATTAAACTATTTAACTTTATAGATTAGAAGAAAGCTACTCTGCTAACTAGTTACTTTATTCTTTCTTGTAATCTAGTAAACTTTTATCCTTATTAGTTGCAATTTACTTTAGGTGTACGCTATAAATGCCTATATCTAGTTTAGAGAAGAAGAGGTGTAGAAATTAAAAAGAGCGAGGCTTGAAAATAGGCTAGAGAGAGGCTAGAAGTAAGCGACAAAGCATAGCTAAAATGCTATAGTCTTACTAGTAGCTGCCTACAGGGATAAGTACATTCTTAAAATAGACAACTTGTTAGCTTAGCAGTTTAGCCTAGATCTAGGATAGCAAGAAGCAAAACTACTTTGTTAGTAAATATTTAAGAACATTTACTTTCTTAGTAAATATTTATTTTCTTAGTGTAAACATTTGCTTTCTTAGTGAATATTTATTTTCTTTGTGTAAACCTTTGCTTTCTTTGTAAACATTAGCTTTCTCTAAATATAAAGTTAGAAGAGAGAGAATTAGCTATCACAATTTAGACATGTGTACCTAAGGCTACTAAATAGAGCGAATTAGCTAGGCGGTTCACCTATCTACTAGTAAGCGTAAAGATTATATTAAGTTAATAGAGTAACTAGCGCTAGATCTAGCAATGAATCCTTACTATTTCACGCATAGAACTACTTAAGCTTACAGCCTACTCTAAATAATATTTAACATAATTTCTAAGTACTCTAACTTATTCTTCTAGTTACATATTTTATAATCTTTAAATTATGTAGAGAACTTAAGCTAGTTCTCTCTTCTTTCTCTTAGGCGAAGCAGCGCTTAGAATTGGACATACCAGGCGAATTACCAGAACGAAGGACGGGATATTGTTGGAGTTTCGTTGGCTTGACGGATGTGGTCTTGGCATTGTGGCTCGTGCATCAGTCACCCTAGTTGTAAAAGTGTTTCCTTCATCGCTCTCAATCTCACGCAATCATCAACTAGGATCTCAATCAACACTCGAAATTTACAAGTTTGATTCTTCAGATCTACTTCTCAAGACTTCCAGATGGACTCGCTCCGCCACTTGGTCCCTGAAATCCTCCTTCCGACCTTCACCTGGCCTCATCGCCTTCTAGGCTCAGTGGATACAACATCGTCGATTCCGCCTGCACCACGACTTGCTCCTCGAATTGTCCGTCGGCTTTTTGGTTTTACCCATTGGTATCTACGGAGCTTCTCTCGTCACTACTGTGCCTGGGTTGGTATCGAGCACAACAATCAAATTGCCCAACTTCCATTTGGCCTTGTGCTGAAATGGTCAGATGGCACTCGACTTGAGGAGATCATGGCTATGATGGTTGCCCGATCTGCAGGGTTTCCTGTGCCGAAGGTTATTTCATATGGAGAGCATCCTGACATGCCTTATGCACCGGTATCGATTTTAATGACTCGAATACCCGGAAGAGAGTTGGGAGATACATACGAGCGGCTGAATGACAAAGAGCGCGACACGGTATTCTCTGAGCTGCAGTGCATACTACGCGTTATGCGGAATTGGGCTCATCCATGGGGAGGAGAACGTATCTGCTCTGTTGCCGGGACGGCCATTAGAAGTGTGCGTGTTCCGGACCATTCGGTCGGGCCTTACGAGTCAGAATCCGAGTTCAACGACCATCTCATCTCTACAGCTTCTGATCACGGTTTTTCATCTCAAGATCTGTTCGAAGAGAAGCTTGCCTGCGCGAAAAGGATGCAGTCCATGCACCATGCTGTTGTCTTCACGCATGGTGACCTGAAGCACCACAATATCATGGTCCACGATGGCCGTATCTCAGGACTCATTGATTGGGAGTCTGCAGGTTGGTATCCGGATTACTGGGAGTTTACAACTGCTCTAAGATTCTGTCCCAGGGACTTTTGGTGGTATAGTTTTGTCTGGAAGCTTGAGGGTTCAAAGTATTCGGCGGAAATGGAGAGTGAAAGAGCTCTAATCCCACTTACAGTTGACTCTTGGGTATGGTAGCTAAGATCTAGAAGAGATTAACTTCTAAGGTAGGCTGTTAGCGGTGTAGAGAGCGTAGCATTTGTTTAGCGTTGTCGGTCTATTCTCTCTAGCTTATAGTTATTCTAGAGAGTCTATTCTATAGCCTAAGCGCTTAGCTATAGTTCTTTAGACTATAAAAAATCTCTTTTACTTAATTTAGTAGTGTAATTATTTACCTATTATCTCTTTATCTACAAGCTACGCCTGCTTAATTGTGAGAGCACTGTGAAGCAGGAAGCGTGAAGCGCAGAAGGGGGTACAGGATAGTATTGATAGACGAATCCTTGAGGAGACTCAGGGGTTTGTAAGAGGATATATATATATGTGCTGGGGCACGTGACGGGACGTCATGTGCCCAAGGCTGGGCCGAGGGCTCTCCAGGGAGAGTCCGAGGCATGTCTAAGTTGACCGTGACATGGCCCCCCTCCTTCTGCAGGTTGTCCTCGATCCTGCGATTGGATAGGTAGGATATCATAGTAACTTGGACTAGCCCCAGGCGGACCTGCAGTGGGGACTGTACAGGTTACGCCTAGGTAGTACTTATTACTAGTAACTAAACTCTAGAAAACTTTAGTAAGGGAAAACTATGTCTAAAGAAGTATAACTAAGAGAGTTAGAACATTATTACTAGCGCTATAGCTGCTAATGTAGGGCGTTCTTGTCTTATTAGGTTAAGCCTAATAGGCCTGTAGAGGCTAAGTAAAGTAGATAGTCTATAATTAAAAAGCCTACTTTTATAAAAGTAACTTAAGATTATAACTTTTTTTCTTTACTATTTAGTTAAGGTCTACTTTTAAAGGTCTTAAAGTTTTAGTTTTAGTACTTATAAGTACTATAAGGTATCTGTAGATGCACTGCTCCTGCGTAAGTAGTTCTCTTAAATGCAGCAGTTAATTACTAGGTTTTTTTTATTAAAAGAATAGTTATTAGTAAGCTTATAATATTATAATTTTATTTAAAATAGCTTAGAGTCCTAATGTATTGCTAGAATAGTTCTAAGGTTAGTGCTATAAAGCTTTTAAAACTAAATCTGTAGCTGCTCTAGTCTAGGGTTGTAAGTGCTAAATAGGGAGATGTAGTGCTATATAAGCAAGTTATTCTGCTAGTTCTCTTAAGTACTAATAAATTAGTGCTTTAGAGATATCTCTGTGCGTAAAATGCTTAAAAATAATGCTTTTAATGTGTTACTATTTACTAAGAGTAGTTGCTTTTCTAGTTAGTTAGGTATAAGCATAAGTAATAGTTTTCTTAAGCTATTTATATGTTTTCTTATCTCTCTAACATTCTATACTAAGTAGGTTGTAAGTAGTAAGGCTCTAGAGTAACTCTAGACCTTACATAAAGTAAAAAAGGTAAGTATAAGTTTAAGTATAAAACACTATTTTTATTACTTTTAAACTTTTTTTTTTTTACTTTTACTTTAGCTTCTCTTTAACTAGTTCTTTTAGCTATAACCTTTTATTTCTTTACTATGCTTATTACATCTTTTGCCTAGTGCTTTAAAAAGGAGATTTCTATGCATGTTTATAAGCTTTTGCCTTACTTAGAGCCTTAGCTACTACTTATCTAGAAATAGTGCTGTGGCTGTGTCACTGCGCTGTTGTCTAAGAAAGGTAGTAAAAAGCCTTTAGCTTCTAATCTTTACATAGCTATAAACACTAGTGTGTGTATAAAAAGCACACTGTTTAGTGTTTATAAAGGCTGTGTTAATAGAAAGGTAAGTAGCTATATAGAAGTAGGTCTTTTAGAGCTCTTTAAGTTTATGCTAACTGTGTACATCTTAATCCCTACTTCTACTGCGCTAGAAATATCCTCTAGTACTATATTAACTAAGCTCTTAACTATAATAAATGCGCTATTAAGACTATAGGTAACCTAAGTTAAGAACTTAACCTAAACGCTAAGGCTTAGCTCTACTATTAGAAGGATATCCTTCTATACGCCCTAGCCCTTAGAGAGCATATTAATGCATACTTCTAGTAGCTAAAGCGTGAGACTAAGGGCTTTACGCTAGGAAAGTATGCCTAGCAGCGTTAGGTTTTCTAGAAACATAACTATAAGTAGCATAAAGTATGTCTTAGTATTATAAGTTATTTAGATTATAGCTAACTTTACTTTAAAGTAGTCTTAGTAGTGTTAGCAAAAACTATCTAAATAATACTGTTATTTAGTTTAAGTCTAAGGTAATTTTTTTTAAAGACAGCTGCGCAACTAACTAGAAGAAACAGTAGTACTACTATAGGCTAAATATACCTGCTGCTAAAAAAGTAAGCTTACTAGTTATAAATTAGCAGTCTAGTATAGCATAGATAGATTAAAAGCGCGTAGAACCTTTATTTTACTAAGAGAGTAGCTAGTAATGTTTTTAGAAATCTTTAAGATGTTCCTGTTATATATGTGGATAATACCTAGTCTAGACTTCACCCAGGACCTCTCTAGGTCTAGTAGGGCCCTAGACAGTACCTTTAATACAGACATTTATACTCTGCTCTAGGTTATAACCTTATAAGCTGCATAAAGTTAAAATTTTATAGTAAGAAGTATAAGTTATTACTTTATTTTTTCTTTATTTATGTGCTAACTTTCTTTAGTAATTTCTATGTTGTAGAGTTTAGATTGCATTAAGTTTTACTGCAGGTGCTAAAGTTAGTGCAGTTGTCCTCTAGGGGGTACCTGCAGGTGTAGCGTTTAGCTATTACTTCTGTTGCAATGTATTATATAAGGTAAGCTAATAATTCTAAAAAACTTTCCTATAGTTATTAAAGTGTTTCTTAGGTTTTTAAGTAAAGTTTTTAAAAAGCTACCTAAGCTACTTTATAAAAAACTATTATTTTGCCTTTAAATTTTTATATTTAAGAATTTCTTTAACTTTATAGCAGTCTCTACTATCTGTCTCTAGGACGTGTACAGGCCTAGGCTAGAAAGGCTTTTCTTAAAGAGGCTTATTTTATTGCTCTAGTAGTAAAACATAAAAAATAAAATAGATCTTTTACATTAATTATAGTAGGTCTAGCTAGTATGCTAGCTTTCTAATTTTCTTAAGTACCTTAAAAAGTTCTAGGTATGTTGCATTAAGCTTTTTTAATAAACACTATATTTTAATATGCTTTAACTTTAGAATAACTTAATCTCTTACACTAAAGTGCTTTTTTAAATGCTTAGTGTTGTACTATTTAACCTAGTGCTGCTGCGCCTGCTTAAGGCATAAGCGCGCAGCTTCTTATTACTTATTCTATCTTAAGAGATAAGCAACTATCTAGTCCTACAGGGCTAGTGCCTTTCTAGACTTGTCTTATACCTAGAGTAGGCGCCTAAGCTAATAATTGTCCTTAACCCTATTAAAGCCCTTTAGGGTAACCCTGTACACTACGCATATTAGGCATTTGCTGTAGAAGAAGTGTTTCTTAAAGTTATAAGCATACTCTATATATAGTAGCAGCTTACACTAATTATTCTGCTAGTAGTTTAAGTATAACTATAAAAATAACTCTAATTTTTAATTTTAACACTTAGTTTACTTATTAGTTTAAAGATAAAAAGCTATACTAAGCTAGTAGTTAATTTTTAAGTAAAAGCAGATGTCTAACTAAAACTAACTAGTAAAGATTAAACTATAATTAGAAATAAAAGTATCTAGTAGTTCTATCTTTATAAAGAATTACTTCTTTAGAAGAGTAGCTAGTTTTCTTGCTGTAATAGTCTTAGTAACAGGAAGATACTAGACGTACTTTAAAAAGCAGTTAACAAGTACTAGAATTAAGTTATAAGTACTACTTATAAAGTCTCTTAACTCTAGTAAGTTAGTAATAAAGTCTAGTAAGTAGTGCTTTTATAAAAAAGTAAGTAAAAGTAAAGGTTCTAGTAACTTCTAAAGCTTATGCTGCTAAATCTTATTTAGCTAGCATAGTGCACACCTTACAACGTACTTGTAAACGTTATAGTAAAGGTATAGCTAGTAGTATTTTCTTTTAAAAAGGTCTATAGTCTTTTTAACACTATAATGCCCTTTTATAGGGTTGTTATAGTTCTTTATTAGAATGTTTTAACATAAAGCTTTATTATCTAGAATCTACACTCTCTTATTCCTGCGCAGGACACTTATAGGGTTATGCTTCTAAAATAGGGTGCTTTTTTTTACTTTACCTGCTTTTTTTTCTGTTAAAAGCGCATTTAACTAATAAGCTTTATTAGTTTCCTACACTTACTTAATATACTTAGAGAAATGTTCTAGGACTTTTAAAGTATAAGCATTTTTATTTTATATAGCTGTAATAGTAAGATAGTTTAGTAACAATATTTTATAGATATAAAAGTAATAAAAGAACTTCTCTGTAACATCTTAGGTCTGTTGTTGTATTATAGGTTCTCTATAGAAGACCTGTAGCGCTTTAGGATTAACTGCCCTATAACTGCTATAGTTTGTAGAAACAATAAGTTAGGTTAATAGAGGTGTACCTCTAATAATTAACATTATGTTAGGTGGATTTAGGGATTCCCTAGGTATAGTATAGCACCTTGCTAGGTCACTGTTAGAAGAAGTTATACTACACGCTGCCTAACTAGCGCAATAAGCTATAGATGTTTAAATTGCCTATACTTAAAGCTTCTACTATAAAGTTAGAAGCATTATGTCTTACAGTAATTTTACTTCTCTTAAAAAAACCTCTTTTGCATAATTAGGTCTTTTAGATAGTCTGTTAGCTAGGTTTTTTAGACCTAGCTTGTATTTAATCTTAAAATTAAACTGCGCTAGCTCTTCTACTTAGTAGGCTTACTTAAAGAAGAGCTCCTTTGTTGTTATAAAATAGCATAGATTATTGTAATTAAAGAGTACCTAGATTATGCTTAGGGTGTACTCTAAGTAGTGCCTTTAATGTTTAAAGCTCTTTATAATCACGCACAACTCCTTATTATGTGTATGCTAACAGAGTTATAAGCTGCTTAACTTGCAGCTCTAGAAGGCTATAGGCCTCTAGTAGCAATTTACTGCTAGCTTAGAGAACTAAGGCTAGAGCAG